TCATTTTCCCACTTCCAGGTAATAAAATACTCTCTCTGTTGGGTTTTTTCCACTCCTACATTTTTTCTTTTTGTTGTTTTTGCGGCTGTAGTTTGCTGGGCGAGCCTTTCCTCCTGTGTTGCTGGTTTGTCTTGAGAAATGTGTGTGTTTGGTGGTGAGACTGGTCAAAACACACATCCAGGAGCATGTCCTACTAAAAGCTAAACTCAACCTTTCACTCACACTGACGGCATTTTCACACTTCGTAGATTAAGTTCGATTGGGGGCAAAAATCGCAACTTTCGTTTTATTTTCAGCTGCTGATGTTGGCGTTTTGAAAATCTGTTCCCCTCCTCGCCTGCGGGGGCGCTGCACCGAGAACCTCTGAAGGAAACAACATGAAAATAGATACTGAGCGCAACTGCCTTCTTCACAAACTGTAATCAAAACACATTTTAGCTGTTGTAGGATTTCAAAAACATAATTTAAGATGAGTAACATCCAATAAAGCTTCACGACCTTTCCTTGTTTACGAATAAGGAAAAATGTCAGACTTTAACCTCCATTTGACCTCCAGGTGTTCCAGCCTCTGGTTTTAACTAACAGATCTTATCCTCAGGAGCCTAAGATGCTGTCAAGAAGATCCAAGAGCTGTGTGTGTTTTTATGCCAGTTCGCGCTAGCAGCTCTGCTGTCGTTACCACAGAGGTTGGATCCCATCAGCAGGTTTGCAGCCGGAGCTTCCAGCGAGTCGTAATGAGAGTGGATGTTGTTTCAGGGTCTTGTGTTGCTGCAGCCCGGAGGCCTCTGAAGAGAAGCTGCTGAGTCACAACCCTCTGAACCCACAGTGAACTTCTCTCTGCTTCCTCCGTTCTTCTGGTCTGACACAAACTCATTTTTTCTTCAAGTAAGTATTGATCTTAGAAAGTGACAGAAAGACGGCTGTGGCTGGGAGACGGTGGATGGTGCACAGCTGGGTTCAAAGTTCACTGAAGCCAGACAGAGACGCCGGATCACAGCGCCGCATTAACGCAGTACCACTTTTACCAAATGCTGTTCCTACTCTGCAGTTATAAATATCATTTAAAAACATATTGAAGTAGCGCTGCTCTTTCTTTACTATTATTCGTGGTATTCTGAGGTATGTTTTTTTAAATGCAGACATTTCCTTTGATTTGCTTGATTTTATTCCAAATGTCTCCAAATCCTGTCTGATTAAAGTTGATGCTTTGCAGCAGCGACCGTTTTAGTAACACCTCATTTCAAGTGCTGTGCATAAATATGACAAAACGCCATGAAAGTTTATGACACCGGTCATGAAGTGTCGTTCGGTAAATGATTACATTTTAATGCAAAGTGGCACTAAAAGCATTTGTTTCACTGTCAAATTATTTCACTTATGTGAAAAATGTTATAAATGTGATAATCTGCCGCTGGAACTAGAATTTGGCTTCTAGGTAACGGCGCCAGTGGAAATGTAACGTTTTCAGAAATATTAAAGTTATTTACTTAAAACAAGCTGCAATATCTGGCTGATACTTTGAAGTTAGTTTGGTCTCATTCCAAATGTGCTGGAAACTGAACCAAAAAAAAAAATACTTGGTAAGATTTTGTGTTTTTGCAGTGCAGTCAAACACAATAAACTTTACCTCTAGTAAATAACAATTAATGTAGAAAATTTTGTCTAAATTTGATTTTGATTTTTAAAAGCGATACAAACACAGCGTGTTTTATAGAAACTACACGACCACCGGGTGTTTCACCTGCAGTTGTCTTGAATTTAACACACTGCACTTCGAGTTTCTGAGGTTTTCCGTACGTTAAACTCGGCTTGCATCTCTTTTTCTGCAGACATTTCATCTGAGCTTGGTGGTCGGGGTCACTGCTGCACTTCATCATCCCTTCTTTGTGCCAGTAAGATGGATTTATGTTTGTGCTGACTAAGCATTGCCTCGTTGTCGTTCCTGCCCAGTCAAATGCCACAGCGTCTCGTGAAGGATTAATCACACCCAGACACACACACCAGGCTCAGGAAAACAGGAGGAGAGGGTGTGTGTGTGTGTGTGTGTGTGTGTGTGTGTGTGTGTGTGTGTGTGTGTGTGTGTGTGTGTGTGTGTGTGTGTGTGTGTGTGTGTGTGTGTGTGTGTGTATGTGTGTGTGTGTGTGTGTGTGTGTGTGTGTGTGTGTGTGTGTGTGTGTGTGTGTAAGCACTCTTTCCTCACACACTCTAACTTACGGGCCGAGTTGTTACATGTCCCTAACAGGGCGGAGATTTTGTTTTTGAAGAGATTCCCAAACATGTTGCTGCAAAAGCTTGACTCATGTTATTCACTCATATCACCAGTTGAAATATAAAATACCGGGTTACAGTAGTTGCTAGTCGTTACACTGAAAAAATGCTAAATCTTTAACCCTGCCTTTCCTTTTAGAAAAATAAATTACTTATTTTTTAAAATACTGTTGGAAAAGAAACAAAAAACGTTTTTAGAAAGTGGGAAAATTGTATTTTTAGGATAAAAAACATTTTCCAAAACAAGTATTGTAGACAGAAAATACTTTTAAAAAAGAAAAAAAAAAAGCATAAAAAAAGTTTTTCAGAATCTGAAAAAAAATTTTTTTAGTTTCTAGTGCAGATTTTCAAGCATACCTGAAATAAGACAAACTAACTTACAAGAAACTTTTCAGTGAAATATAGAGACAATAGAGTCTTAATATTTATGAATAAGTTCTAGTTATTCCACTGGCAGATTATTTCACCTGCAATATGAGAAAAATGTGAAATAATCTGCCGGTGGAATAAATATTTTTAATTCAATCTATATGATGGCTTAAAACAAGCTTATTTGTGAGTTAATTTTGTCTCATTTCAAGTCCATTAACAGATTTGCACTAGAAACTAGCACTAGTAATAATGCTTGGTAATGTTTTCTCTTTTTACAGTGTACCCCGTGTTAAACCTCATCACAATATAAAGATTAACTGTGAAAAGCAGAAAAAATGTCTTTTATATTTGATTAGTTTGAAAAAAATGTATTTATTTCAGCAATTTAATTAACCAAGTGAAGCATATTACAAAGATTTATTACACAAAGACTCATGGATTTTATTTCTGACTGATGATTTTCCTCTTACACCAAATGAAAACTCAACATTTAAGACAAAATGATTTATAAATGGAAGAGGGTTACAGTTACTGAAAACTAAAATTCTCCAATAATTCTTATTTTTTAGTCTGAAAAACTAGTTACATCAGTAATCTAATTTATTCAGCATGACAGTATAATCCAGAAAGTGTTGCACAACTCTCCTACTGCAGGAATAATTAATGGGATTAATAGAGATTAATCAATTATTGAAATAATTATGAAATAGTTCAAGTTAATTGCTTAAAGAAAAACTATCAGAGCAGTAAAAAAGTCAAAAATGGACAAAAAAAATTATACATTTCACATTTAAGATTAAAAAAGTATTTTTCTGTAAATATGTCGCACCCATAATATTTAAAGTGGTTTCATTTTAGCTTAACCTGGTTAAAAATTTAAAAAAATGAAAAAATACCCTGAAAACTGAATGTTTTTATGGATTAGTCAGAAGCAAGCTGTTTCTGACTAATTCATAAATTATAAATCCAAGCTGTAAACATCAACAGAAGACAATAAATCCATCTTCTGTTTTTAAATCTCTCATTTTAAAACCTAAGAATTGAAATAAAGTCTCAATTCTTCAAACATGACAGCAAGAAGGAGAAGCTGTCTTTTCCATGAAACCTATTTTATGGCTATTAGAGAAAAGATTTTAACTTTTACCTGAGTTTTCTGTCTGTTTGCGTGAAACGCTTTAGTGTAACTGGCTGATATATGAGTGATGCAATTGGGCTACATTTTATTGCATACTTTATCAACTCTGTCCTCAACTCTTATGACTCCTGATTTAAGGGGCGCACACAAGTCTGCATTAATATGTTTTCATTATTATGACCTTTAGCTTTAGCAGTAGATCTTCCTCAGCGCTCTCTCCCTGAGGATTTTCCCAACGACAGAGAAAAACCTGAGTTATGGTGGAAACTCTGGGTATTTATGAGGCGTGGAGCTGCAGCTGTAAAAGCCGCTCCGCCACAAACAAATGATTCATGATTGCACTCCGGCGTCCAAAAAGACGGATGATTAGGAAGAAAGCAAACAGCCAAGATTATGTTGCAAAAGCAGCACTTTTTATTTCACTGCCTGAAACTTTGACGCGCAGCACAAACGGTGTTGATGTCTAAAACGCACCATTAAAGATCCTCCTCTTTAGATAAGCTGCTTCATCAATGCTAACAATTCTTGAAATGTTTCTCTTTCAACATTATAGTAAAAAAGACAAATATATATATATATTAGTTTAGATCAGTCAGAAAAGAAATGGATGAAAGAAAAGCAAAGAGCAAAACTATTTCAATTCAGATTTTAATTTAAGAAATATCAGAAGAAGCCACACAGATGCGTCTTATTTCTATTTAAAGTTTTTTTTTAAAACTAATTTCAATTGGTTAAAAAAAACCCTGAAAAGCTCAAACTCTGTTGATGTGGCTTCAACATTCTGTGTTTAGCTGTGAACTAAAAAGACAAACATCTAATAATAAGCACATTATCACAAACCAGCACCAAACCTGAAATATGAGTTCATTCATGTTATTGAGAAATTAAAGTCTATTTTAAAGAAAAAGTAAATATATTTCAGAAGGGAAGCCATGTCAGCATGTTTTAGTTTATTATTTCTTAACTCAGATGGTTTAAAGATTTATATACAGGAATAAAAGAGGTTGAAATAGCAAGTTCTTTATTAAATATTCAGATTTTTAGTCTTTAGCTTTACAATAAATGTTTCCAAGTCTGATAAAAAAAACTTCAGATTTTAGCTCAAACTGAACAAAAACAAACAAAATGTTGTGACCTACTTTTCCATCCAACCTTTAGAACAAATAAATGTTTTTTCAGCAATAAAAACAAAAAAAATCTTAAAATAAAATAATGAATAACACAATTAAATGAGCTGCATTTTTATTCAACACATAAATGTGCAAAAATAAATGGAAACATGACAATTCTGAAATAAACTCCTGTTTTTCGATAAAGTTTTTGTTAGCATTTTACTAAAAATCCAACATTGCTGGATGTAATTACTGGTAAAAACAAAAAAAAAAGACAAAGAAGAAGACAGGAAGTGGTGCACTGTAAAATATTTGAGCCAAGTTTAGTTGTTTAAACAAATTTAGCAAGTTTTAGATTTTGAACCTAAATGAAAGAGTTTTAATATGGCAAAATATTGACATGTTCATACTGTACTTTATACATATTCTGTAAATAACCACAAAGGTGCAACAGTTACAATTATATATATTAAAAATAATCAGCAAACAAAATGTTTTTCTAGACCTTTTTTTGTTTTGTTTTTTTGTAGTTCTTAGCAGCTTCCACAAGGGCATCATTCTGGATGCTGGGAGTGTTATTTAATACAGATTTGGAGGATATTTGATACTGGTATGGTTAAACAGAATACAGACAGAGGAAAAGGACGGAGACAAATGGACAATAGGGATAAAAAAAAAAGACAACCAGACAAAAACTAATCTCATCCATCTGCGAGGGTCAAATTTCACACAGGAAATGGGTTTCTCTCTCTCTCTCTTTCTCTCTCTCTCTCTTCTCGTCCCCATCGATCCTCCTTTCTGTTCACCTTCTCTTGTTATTTCCATCACTGCCACCTTTCAATCTCCTTCGCACAGATGAACGGACAGACGGGAAATAAAAAACCCAGCTGGTATCTTTCTGTCGGTTCGCCGTCTTCATGAAGAAAAACAGTCTGGTCAGGAGACAAGAGATCAAATAAAGTCAAATTTACTGAGCTTACATGTTTTTAAGCTCTGAGCAAAATTAGCTGTTTTCATCTACTTCCTTGCAGAGTTGATTTTTCTGACTATATTGTATCAGTATGCTGCTCAGCCGCCAGTATATTTACCAGAGCAAATGTCATTGAGTTCATTGATTTCTTCCTGAACTCTGAGAAGCAGAAGGTCCTGCAATATTTCCTGCTGCTGCTTGTCATCCTCCACCCCAAGCAGCTGCAGGTGATGTTCCCTCAGTCTCAGTAAAGCTCGGCCTGCGAAGTCATTTATTACACAAATCAGCATTCACACCAGTTAGCTAAACTAAAGATGTTTTCACACTTCATAGTCCAAAACTGCAACATTTGTTCCATTTTCAGCTGCTGTGGTTTTTATTTTAACATTCGTTGCCTTTTGGGAACTCAAATAAAGCTGTCTTTCTCTGTTTACCACTCTTTATTACTTCAATCAAACAAGGACTGAGGTCTCAAGGTGGACCAGAGTTGACGTTTTTGGTCAATACACATTCACACTTCCCTAAACGAACCAGATTCTCTGACCCAGAATACACTGGGTTGGTGTGAACGCATCCTGAAACCCTTCAGAGTTTAACATAAAATCTTTTACGAACTGTTTAGATGTCAAAAACCGGGATTAGTTGTACCTGATATGGCGTGTTTGATGATGCCTTTGTAGAGAGTCTCCATGAGTCCTGGGTGCTGTTCCTGAATCCACTCCAGAACCTCTTCCACAGACCAGGACGATACTGGATGCAGCTCGCTCATTATAACCACCCTGGTATGGAAAACAGAAATCATAAACCAGTGGAGGTACAAAAAAACCCCAAAAGGGATTCATCTTCCTAACATAATTGAACTAATTGAACCATTAGGAAGAGGAGCGCCAAAGAGACAAAAGATAAAAACGTTTTGTCGATCATACAGTGCTGTGTCCCTTTTCTTATGTTTTGCTTTTTAGTTTAAACTTGTTGGTTAAGTATTCTTCTTCGTGCTTCTTTTCCATAAAAGCAATTCTTTCAGGCGCTGAAGAAGCAAAACATCTTTGAAAAGCAGAAGTGGAGCCTCCTGCACAACCAACAAGAATGGTAAGACAACAACAGAACACTTGTCTTTTCCAGCGCGTTGCACAGCGCAGTCATTCTGTGGGGATTTTTCACACACTGCTTCAAATAAGTCACATGTTATGTCCCAAAAAAGCAGTGAAATTATAAGTGATTTCTCTCCCCAGACGATCAGATCTCAGCATTTCAGCTGTGAACTGAAATGCACACGTCTGCTCACTGATATTCAGGCGCATCAACTGACAACTCGTCTGTCTGTGGCGTCAGAAAACGACACCTTAACAGTTTCCGACACGTGCCGCAGCATCACCTACTTCTTCTTCCGCGTAAGCCTGATTTCCTGTGAGGCTGGCAACTTCCTGAACATTTTGAGCTGAATCTCAGTACATTTGAAGGTCAAAAAACACTTCGTTTTTATGATTCTTACAGGCTCCCTGAGGTTCGGGCTTCTCTTACAGTCATATCCCTCTGGGTTACGGTGCTGTAGGGCAAAAACCTGCTAAACTGTTGATGTGACCTTTTCAGCAGGCCAGGCGAGTTATTAGGGCTGTAAATACAGGAATGCAATTTCCTGAGTTAATTAGGGATGAGGTATGATTGGCTGAGACAATAACGAGCTCCCAGCGGAGTGAGTGACATACAGAAAGTGACCGGGGCAAAGAGACGGAGAAGGAAATCCGACGGCGGTCGGCGGTGCTGATGTTCGGCATGACGACAGCATTTCCTAAACTTTACAGGCCTCAGCGGGTCTCGTTTTATAGACGCATAAACTGACTGTATATACAGCTTGTCTCATTTGCTGGAAGCACTTTAATTTAGATTTAGCTACTGAACCAGGACTTGTAAACAAATGTAATATGCACCACAGCACATCACTGCTTTCCATAGGTCTCTGTTACTACAGGCAGCAGCTTTTGCTTTTTCTGCAGCCACCAAAGTGAAAACAGACACATTTCTCCTATTTTATTTTAACATCAGACAAACATAACTTGATTTCTAAAAGCTGCTTGTAGCTGATAATTTCATTTATGAAAGGTGAAGACCAGCTCATAAACAACAGGGTCTGATTCCTAACCAATTTCTAAACTCTTAATTCTGACTGAAAACATGAAGTAGGCTAAAAGATTAAAGAAAGAAGCAATAATCTATTTCATAAAACAAAATCAATCATAAATTCATCTGGAAAGGAAAATGTGATGATTGCAGATGCTTTGGAAACCATCAGGATGCATAAGAGCCACTATAGACTGAAAAAAGGACCAAATCCTCCTCCAAAAAACTGACATTCTGAGATTAAGCTCTGAAAACTTTGAGAAAAATCAAGAAAAAGTTTGAGATTAACCTAAGAATATTTCTTATTTGAGCTCCAATAGTAAGAAAAAAAACTCCTAGAAAAAAAAATGCAGAAATTTTTAGAAGATTCAGAAATGTTGACACAAATTTCCCAAAACTTGAACATTTTCAAAATTTGAAACTAAAAAATGTCCAAGTTTTTTATGGAAAATTTTTTAGATTAATCTAAAAATTTCTGATTTTTTTTCTAGCAATTTTTTTATTTTTCAAACTCTGAAATTCCTAAATTTGATTAAACTGGATTTTTTTCTCACAAAGATTAAACTTTTGAAGCTCAAAAATGTCCTTGTTGCTGAAATCTTTGCTGTAAATTTACTACATTTTTTCTATCTGCAGTGACAGATTATCTGGATCAATGCCAAATATGGAAGTGGAACAAATCAGATGTTTTATTTTTTGTGGGGTGAATAAAATGCGGCCGTTCAGACTGCCGTGAAAAAGTTGGGCATTGGTCACATAATGGAAAAAAAATTAGGAAAAAAGAAAACTTTGTTTTGCTACTTTTTTTTAAATGTGTTTGACCCAGAATATTAAAGCCAGAAAAACACAAACAGGAGAAATCTGCAAGAGGAAAAACCTTTTCACAGTGCAATGTGCTTTAAGAATATGAATCCTATTTGTGTTCATCCCAAAGCAGAAACGTCAGTCGTTCCTTATGCCGCCCGGCAGCAGGTCTGCTGCTGGTCAAAGGAGAACAGAATCAATTTCCTCCTGCAAGCCAAATTGGCCAGAACCTTGCAGGAGGTCGTAGGTCTGCCGGGAAATATTCTGAATAAGTTGGGAAACAACATTCATGTCCCGTAGCTCAAGCAGAAATCCTCTCTGTCACATTTATATTTCAGAGATGCAGCCAGTAGATTATATGGTCCCATAAAATAAAATGAATCGTGGCACAACAGAAGCTTGCCAAGATGTAACCCCTCCACCTTGTGGTTTCCTGGAGAATTACAAAACAAAACATTTAAATGGGGGAATAAATAAGTAAAATAATGTGACTGCTAGTGTTCATATTCACCTGGCATCTGATAAAGTGCAAAAAGTGTTTTTCTCAGTGTCATCTCATTCTGAATGTCAAGAGAATTTGCTAAATATGTCTAAAGGTATAAGTCAGGAGAAGAGCACAAAATAATTTCCAAGGCATCTAACACAGTGCAGATATGTAGAAATTAAAATATGGTGAAAAATGTGATGAAAAGTCAAAGAACAACATTAAAAGAGGTGAGAGTGTACGATTAATTATTTTATGCTAAAAATCTAACTAAAAAATAGCAGTGATTGGCTTATTCTGAAAAATATAGAGAAATTTAAGATTAACTTCACTAATACTAATAATTACATTTATAATTTAATACTTTTGACTTATTTCTGCCACAATGTATTGATACTTAGAATAAATTGATCTTTGATTCTTTATTGTTAAAACATTACAGTTTGAGTTCACTTTAAGAAAGTTGCTTCTGCTGCAAAAACTTACAAGTATAATATCTTTATATCAACATATAAAAAATTCCTAAGTGTATTTATGATCAAACTAAAGCAGAAAGGTTTATTTTAACTCAACTTCAATAAACTAAAATGTGAACATTAACTATCTAATAGTATATATGGTGCACTTTCTATTCTTTAATGTTTAATTTGGCAAACTTAAAGACTGAATTTAAAGCACACTTATTGCAAAGTGAAAGATGTTCCACTGTAATCTGAAGGATTAAAATTAGTCTCCAGATTTCTGATCAAAATGATCAGCAGAAACCCGCCCACCGCTAAAGAGCAAGAACTCACCTTTTCTAAACATCACACCTGAAAATCAGCGTTAAAGTTTCATTACTGTTGAACTCAGAAGCGGATTAAATCCCACAGATTAAATGATGTCCCAGTTATTTCCCGTTTTTACCTTCAGTTCGGTGAGTTTTATGTTGGACCTCCTGATTACCTGCCCAACGCAAGGACGTCTCCGCTCAGGTATGTTTACGCCCCGCCCACTCCTCTGTGATGCCTTCAGGTGTTGTCAGGAATGTTTTTGACGTCACCGGTAAAGATAATTATATGAGCGTTTGATTTTGTTGTTGTAGTCCACACTTTTCACTGGACAGTTATGTAAAAAGGAGTAAATTATTTTAGGTTAACCTCAAAGATTTTTGAGAAAAAAATACTTATGAGGTTAAAGGTTAAAATCCTAAAAAACTCAGGAAGTTTTATAGTAATCTCAAATATTTTCTAGACAACTTTTACATTTTAAAAGTAAAAATTTTGCTAGAAAAAAATGAGAAATTTTTTCTTATTATTTTTGTGGAAAATTTCTGAGATTTGTTTTCACTCATTTTTAACTGTTGGAGCTAAAAGGCTCCCAAAATATTTGTAGAAAAACTCCGATAGTTTTTAATCTGGCATATATTCGACTTTTTAAAGGAATTTTTTCCTTGAAAATTTTTGAGATTAATCAAAAATTTTCTAAGCTTATTTTTTACATATTTTAAACTCAAAAGATTCCAAGTTTTTATATCAAAATTTTTGTAGATAAAAATATATATATTGTCTCTTTTCCCTCGTTTTTCCTATTACAAATTGCCCTAAAACGATGTAAAAACATGTCAAACTCCCTGATTTTAACAGTCATTCCTGCGTGTGTCCAGCAGAGGGCGCGCAGGTCCAGCTACTGGAGAAACGTGCATCTCCTTCCTGTCTGCGGCTCGCGCGCAGCAATCATCAGCTGGAGGTTGGTAGTGGTCACATGACGATGTTGTGGATTTATTATTCCACATGTCCGCGTTGGGGCTGCAGTGCTCGGCTGCTGACAGTCTCTGCAACACTGACAGGACGAGCTCATGCTGCAGCTTCTCTGCTTTTCCTCTCCGTTTCCTCAAAGTTGGCGCTGATTTCACTTTCAGGAGGTGAAAAGCGTGAAGACGCAACTGTCTGGAGGAAATTATGAGGAAGGCAGAGCTGTGATTTTTGTTGCTTTTCACTTCTGAGGCAGAAGGTGAGACTATTCTTTTTGTTATTATTTTCTAATCTCATGATTATCAACATATTTTGGTTCAATGAACAATCAAGAAAATAGCTTCAAAACAAAACTCGACAAAATGTAATTGTGACCAATTTTAATGCTTTATCTCCCATTTTTGTTGCTTCTCATGAATCAATAATAATTCAAAAATACTGTTTTGCAAAATCAATCAATAAGCTGAACGTTTGACCTCCTCAATTGAAGTCAAGATCTGTTCATTTCTCGTTGAAATCTAGATGAATAGATAACTCAACACTTGATTTGCTGCAATTTTGTCATCACAGCTTTGTGCTACAAAAGACAGGAAATTCATTGAATGCAATTCACCCGCTGAAAGTGGTTACTTTGTGTTTCAGCGGTCATGAATGAAGTATCTTTTTAATGAGGGGAGAAAATAGGTTAATGTTTATGGGTGACTGGGCTTTGGCATGGGAGTTTTCTATGATGTCTATAGAGAGATGCTGTTTTATTTGACTCATATGCATCAATTTTACAGGTAATTTGACTTCTAAAATAGGTTTTATAGCTTTGAATTATCCATTTGGATCCAGCAGAGACCACACACATTGCAGACAATCGGATGTTTGTTGGGACAAATGGTGAGATGGTTCAGTTGACCGGTCAGAGAGTCGCCGACCTGCTTTTATTGTTGATATCCTTTCCATGCTTACAGTCCGTCAAACTGGAGCATTGTGAACAAACTATGGGCTCTGTGGAGCATTTCATTCACTTTTCACAAAAATTAGAATATCTAGTGATGGTGTACTTTCTACGCTAGAGAAAGTCAAGTGCATAACAATACGTTAATTACAGTAAAAACTCATTTAATTGCCTTTTGGTGTTCAACACAGAAAGGCTCAGGTTTATTTGAGTGCCCAATGGGTAAAATTGATCTTAAAGAAGAAAAAAATACATAAAAAGAAATGGTGTCTTTTTGGTGCGTATTAATCAAATTCCAGTTTGTTTATGTAGAAAGTCTGGCTCATTAGGCGAGATGTGAATGTGAAACTGGACCAGAAAAGTGAACTCTAGTTCGCTGACAAACCTCGGTCTTGGTTCAGTTGAAGTGAACTCTGGTGCTGTTTAAATGCAAATGTGAATGCAAGTAGACCGCTCCAAAAGTAGGAAGTGGACCACGGCGCAGGGCATTCTGGGTAAATGCAACCAAAGCAAACACACGACTAGAGCCAGCAGGAGACATGTTCAACTACAAAGCAGTAATCCAGGCGCGTTAAAATCATGAAGAAGAAAGCTGCTCAGTGTCTTCTTGAGGGGTTTTTCTGTCGTTTACTTCAGCAGCTCTTAGTGCAGCGCTCCCACAGGACAGGAGGGGAACAGCTTTTTAAAATGGTTTGGTTGTTTGACGCATTGAAATTTTGCTCATTAATCCAACTGAATCTACTGGACTGTCAGGGAAGAAAACGCCCAAAAGCTGACCTGTGTCTGATCTTTTCATGGCAGTCCAGACAACACAGATCAGATTTTTTTGAATGCGACCCAGATGGGGTTGGATGTCCGGTACCATCTGAACGTCCGGGTCGCGTTCATCCAACCTGAACGTCACTGATACCCGATAAACGCACTGATACTCGCAAGAGGGAAGAAAAACAACAACCCTGACAGACTATGAGCATGAAGATGTTAATGTATTGGCTCTTTCCGCACAGCAACTTCAAAGTCATTAGCTATGCTCCACCGTTAGCATCCATGTTTACCTGTGTAAACACTCAGCACTTCTTTTTTTATAGCGGTTGGCAAAACATTGAGTTTGCTATTTGTGTGTGCCGTCGTTGCGCTCCACTGCGCATGCGGGACACTTTCAGGTCGTTTGCAGTTCACATTAGAGTTGCACCTTTTTGGAAATGTGAACAACCGTGTCAAAAAAGTCCAATTTGACAAAAAAATTGTCATTGGGTCTCTTTGGTATGAACACAGCATAATAATATCAGTGTAATAAAACCGAGGGACAAAACAGTGTGCCAAAACCATACCAATAACTGGTTCCCGCTCTACTGAGGCTGGACAAAAGTAATGATACTATCCACGAAATTACTCAAGTAAGAGTAAAAAAGTATTTGGTAAAAAGTACTGGTCAAACCGTCAGTCGTTCAATATGTAAAAATTAAATAATCGGACAAATAGAAACTCATGTGGAAATAGTAAAAATACAAAAATAATTTTAAAAGTTTTTTTTTTTTTTTTTTTTTTCAAAATATCACTTGAGTAAATGCAACTGGTCATTCTGGTTAGCTGCCAGTCAGCTTAACTGTTTAAAACGTGGCAATAAAGCAAAAAGTGTCTTAAGAGATGACTCAATAAAAAACGCTTTCTGAAAACATTTTCTGTCATTTGTAATTTCTTTTTTTAGCAAATGAAAACATCTATTAAAATGGGATTTGTTTTGAAAAAATCAGAGATTTTATTTTTAGATCACTTTGCTTTCCCACCATCGTTCCTCGACCCTGATGGAGCAAATAAACCGTTAGAGTTGTGTCCCACAGAACTTGGGAAGGAGATATTCGCTCCACAGACACACGCAAACACTCGCTGACGTTTGGGGGTTTTGTGTGTTTCGTGTGATCTCCTAGCAGCCTAGATGATTCCTGCCGAAATGTCAACCTGAGCCTTATATCCCGCTTTAATGAAAAAGTCCTGACTAAGCGCTTTTTAACCGCTTTCTCAAACACAGAATGAGTTCACAGCCACAACTCCTGCCTCTCATTTCATCTCTGTCACTCCCTTTCTGTCCTCTGTCCTTTCTGTTTGTTTTATGTTCTTCCACTTCATTTCTGTTTGATTTAGATTGAGCGCGCCGTGGGAAAGTCTGCAGGCCGAACATGATTTACCGACACTGAACAGAATGAGAATTTTGTTGAAACATCAGTTAAAATCTGGACAAATAAGCTGTTCGGAGTCAGAGTGCTTTTGATAACAGACTCATTGCTCATTGCTGGGAATGATAAACAGTGAATTAGGCGTGTTTTGCTTCCTATTTAACATGAAGTTTATTGATTCCTTATCAAAACAGACCATACTGTCACGTCATTTTGAGAAGATTGTAAAAATGTGACATTGATAAATGAATCACAATTTTTATGACAAGCTAAGTTGCCCAAATTATTGCTGATCAACTTTACAAATGGCCGCCCGCACCACCTCTGATGTGACGTAATATTGTTAGCGATAGCCGCCATGCTCCACATTCCTCCCTCCTGGTTGGTATGAAAGGTAAATCACTCTTTGACCGACTTCTCTGCTCGTTCAAACATGTGATTTCATTCAGGTTTTATAACTTCTGAAGAGCCAAGCAGATGGATTGCAGCTAAACTGCAGCTAGCATCCAACCAAACTGGCAGAAGGACAAATTGCTCAACTCTGGGTTAGAGACAGATGCAGTCTTTACTGCACCAGGATTTCCTTCTGTTTGCTTATGTTGGACTTTTCAGCGTGAGTCTGAAAGTTTGTTGTAGTTTGAACTGAGTAGCGATGATGAGAGCTTTCACAGCTGGCCTATCGCATTAGCCTCTGCAGAGGGCAATAAAGAAGAAAAACATACATGATTAAACATACTCGTAAAAAGCAAAATACACCTGTAAGGTATTTATATATATAAAAAAACACATTTTTCCTTTAACTTTGTGTAAAAATATTTTAATTTGGTTTTAATGTTTTATTTAATTGAATTTTAACTATAAATCCTCAATTTAGAGAACGCTGGCTATTAAAATGACATTGAGCATGTAAAATAGCTTATTGTTTTAAATAGATTACGTAGAATGAGGCTTCAAGATAAACAGAATGTAATCGTTTTAAATCAATAAATCAATCAATTAAGTTTATTTCTGTTGCAAATTACAGCAACAAGGCATTTCAAAGTGCTTGATATAAAAAAAACCACAAAAGTACGAAGTCATAAAACACACAGGTCCTACAGTTTGACTTCATAACACAAATTCAGGTGAACCTATGAAATCAAGTTGGTGGTTAAAATCAGTCCAGCAGTTTCTGCAACTAAACATTAAATAAAATCTAATAAACAAACTACAGAGCAATAGCTTAGCAGCAGTTAGCATCTACAAAATTAAACATGCACATTGATAACGACAGTTAAAAACAGACCAAAATCACTCATGAAACACTGAGTATGACTACATTTGTCCAGAATGCTATAATACTTGTAAAGCAAACCGATGCTAATATTTACCACCGTTACAGGAAAAAGGGGGCGGAGCTATCAGTTACTGGTTGCTACGGTAACCACCAACTGCCCAACAAAAACCACCAATAAATGTGGAGAAACAAAACAAACACATTTTGACAAACTTCACATCTAAAATATGGTTAAAACCCTGATGCACAGTGAAGCAGGAAAGATTTGGTTAGACGTGGAAACGTTGGTCAATGTTTTATTAATTTGCTTCAAAAGTGACTCTGAGGGTTTTAGTCTTGATTCAAAGGAACTCAAAGGTGTTTCAACTGTTTAGTTTTTCCAGCTGTGTGGTTAATCAAAGTTGGTTTAATCACACCCTGGTTTAAATTTGTATTATTATTATTTTGTTTTTTCACAGTTTTTTTCACTGTCACCTGGATCAATCTCTAATTCTTTCCCTCTAAACTAATAAACACACATAAAAGTTTATTTTCAGAATAAATGGGAATTAAATTTTTTTTTACCATTTCCACACTGTAAAAACTCAAAATCTTGACATTAAATTTGGATCTAGTTGCTGGAGAACATAAGAAAAAAATGACTTACAAGACAGAAGCTTCTTTTAATCGAATCATTTCTTAATATTGATTAAAAAAAAAAAAGTCTTAGTTCCACCGGCAGATAATTTCACTAATTTATGTATTTTTTTTCTTGTTATAAATGAAATAATCCATTTTAAGAAATTATTGATGTAAAACAAGCTGAAAAGTTACTTATTAGTAATTTTTTTCTTTTATTTTAAGTGTACTAAGATGTATGCACCAGCAGCCAGACCAGAATCTGATGGCAGGATTCTGTAGTGGAGCTTATAGGAGATGTTTTAACTGGATCGTTTTATTGTTTCTTTAGTTTCGGAGGGGATGGAAAACAAAGCCATGTATCTGAGCACAAATGAGGAAAGAGAGAGCGGCTCCATGTATGAGGAAGTCTACGATGGACACAACTTGTCCAAACTCAACCTTTGCGATGAAGGTAAGAAACTTTATACTTTATCAAAATTATAGAAATTACTTGTGAGGTTAATTTATCTGCTTTTAAGGATAAGGTATTTTCTTTGAGTTTCATTAGGAGATTTTTTAAACTTTGTGTTTTATGAAAAAAACCCACCATCATCATCAAACTCAGATGAAGTTGGACCCTGAAACTGCTGGGAAAAAGACGGTGATGCGATCATGTTCTTGGCATTTGGTCCTCCTCTGGCTCTGGTCATCTAAATGTCCAGAAATGACATCTGTATTTTTGAGTCGAGGTGCAGCTGAACGAACTCACAGATTTAATATTCTCAGGTTTCACCCTGCAGCTTGGCCGGTTTGCTGGGAAAGTTTGAGTTAACATCAACTGGAGAACTTGTTGGCATCCAATTCGGTTTATTCAGATAACAAACGAACAGCTAAAGTCACAAAGAAACATATTTTCTTTACACTAAGTAAGGGTGACTAAACTTTGAGTCAAAAGTATTTGTGGGCTAAAAATCAAGTAAATGAAGTGGTCTTTTATTTATTTATTTATTTTCATTTCATTTATTATAGATCCAAAAAAAGAATTTGGGATGTTGTCTGTATTTAAATAAATACATCTAGTTTTCACCTTTTTTGGCTCGATTGACCGAATTATTTTCAGTGTGACGACTGGGTCACTTTTTTCAAAACATTTGCAAAGTTTAATGAGGCAGAAAAGGCTGATTTGTGTGCAGCAAAGGGGACGTTTTAGTAAAAGTTTCTGGCTAAACGTTGTTCTAAATGCTTAATTATAAAAAAAAATTTGTGTTGCACTAAACATTTTCCATTGTAAAAACATTATGTCAATTATAATTTTACCCTAATTGCAAATAAAAAAACGTAAAATTTGCATTCAAAGGGCTGCAAATGTCCACCTACACTAAATATTTTCCATCTGGGAAAATCCAACATTACAGGCAGTTAAACTTATGATGTCAATTAGCTAAATGTCTGGCATAGTTACTTATTTACAGTCAGGTGAAAATTTATTTGCCACTTTTTTTGCCTTTTCATAACCTTCTTAGCATCTAGCTAACTTTTAAATTCAATAAAGATCATTTTAATCTCAGAATTTCAACCTTAAGCTCAACATTTTGTTGTTAAAATATAAAAATAATCGCATATCTCCTTCTTAATTGTTATTGGCAGATTAGAGATTTAAGACCTGATTTGCCTGATGGTGCTTAATTAATTTAAACCATTTTGATTCTGATTTAAAACCAGAATTTCTGTAAACAACACGACGGCGTGTTGTTTGTTTCTGTGCTGTGAATTCCAGCCGTGTGACTCATGCGCGTCTCAGCCAGCTGTGTTTGTCTGACGCCGCTGCTGCGCGTGTTCTTCATCACGGAGGGAGAAGTTAATGTGTGTGTCCACCTGCATCCAGTGAAGGATTGCCACGGCCCAAATGACAACACGCTGTTTTTGTTTTAAAGTTCGGACACAGTCCAACATCCTGAGTGTTTGCAGGGAGACAGAATCTCTGACCGTGTGAAAACCCAGTGGACGTCGTCGTTATCGCAATGCCCTGGACGTCTTGAGGTCTTTCCACAACACATTGCACTGCAAAAACACAAAAACTTTAATTGTGTTTTTTACTTAATGAAAACATTGCAAGTGCAAAACTGCGTTTTTTGGAATATCGGCATATTTGTAATGGAAATGCAGCTTCTGCAATCAAGCTGCTTTTAGTCTTTATTCAAATAAAGCAAGTCAAATTTCTATATAAAGCAAATCTAGTACAAACTGAGAAACTCTTTGAGATCCAATTATTCCAAATTTATGCTCCAATAAAGAATTTCTTCAGTCAGAGTCCATAATTTCACTTGAGAGAGGAAAAGTCTGAGTCCGGTTCTAGTTACAGATGAAGAATGTGATTCCATAAGAAGGTTTGAAAACTGATTCATCTTCTTGACCCGAGGCGAGCGTTTCCATCAACGCCGCGTCCCGCCCAGCTGTCCAACACACAGACACAGAAACAGCTTTTCCATCATTCATCACTTTTATCAAGCCTGCGTCTGACCCGGAGAGGACGGTTAAGTGCCGACATGTGTTTTAATAATGGCTCCTCGGTGACTGTGTGCAGTTCATGCAGCAGAATTTGATGCTGGTTGTCGGGATAATTGTGAAGCGATGCAGAGATTTTGCCAGAAGATGAAGATCGTGGTTGAAGTTTTGTTTAAAAACCAGCGAGTGGATCGCGTCGTGTTGGACATGTGGCCCCTTGGAGTAAGAGCTGGGCAGCAACTAGTTACATTTGCTCATTTACTTTTTCTCGAGTAACTTTATTACAAAGTATTGCTACTTTAACTGAAGAGACATTTCTGGATTTTGTACCTATTGAATGAAAAACAAACATGTTTTGACCAAAAATCCACCAGACTCAGAAACACACCTGCAGCTTTTGTTAAAGTTTCATAACTAATTTGAATTTTATTTTTTATTTTTTGCCTGATTTTGTTATTTTTGTTACTCATGTTCACTTTACTTTATGTTTTGGTTTATCTCATTATTTAATTTTTAAATATTATATGATAATTTGATCAGTACTTGACTTTTTCCTAAATATTTTTACTTGAATAATTTGTTTTACTTTTACCAAACGTAAAACTATGATGAAGTAGTGCTGACTTTACTTGAGTACAATTTTCACATTATATGCCCACCGCTGCATGTTGTCAAATTGTTGCAATAAATTTCTAACACATGTCACTTTTCAGCAGCAAGCCAGCAGTAGATTTCTGTCGTCTTAATCTGAAAGTGCAAAATATTTTTCAACGTTTGTTTTTGTTTTAGTGTGCGCAAAGCGCCGCAGGAAGCAGGACCAGCACTGCAGTCTCCTGAACTCCCTGTCCGCCATCAAATATGCGATTGTGTCCTTGTACGTCCTGGTTCTGCTGACCATCTTTGGACTCTGCTTGGCAGGTAGGGTGAGCATTATGATGTGGGGAAGATGGCTGGAGTTGACTGTGAGAAGAGTGAAAAAATACATCAGGAAGTTCTGGAAGAAAAACCTTGTTAAGGCTGTAAAAGATGTGAGACGGAGTTGGAGCTTCACCTCCTATCAGGACTTTTTCCTAAAATATTCAGCCGTTTAGATCAGAACATACTCGTAGGTTAGAATGTCCCTGTCAAAGTTTAGTCCTAAATATAATCATGGGAAGACTTAAAGGTGACCTATTGTGCTGCCTCGCTTAGTATTGGTCTTTGATCTGTAAAAAACATGTCCATCTTATTATTTGCACAAAATCATTCTTAGATAATCAGATTCTTTTGTAAGTTATTCCTCTTTTGAACTCTTGTTTCTTTAATAATCTGCTGCTGGCCACGCCCCCTGTTCAACGTTTACACTCACACCTTAAAATAGCTGCAAATAGATGCAGAACTGTACATCTTTAAAAAGCAGAAGTGGAGCCTCCTGCACAACCAACAAACATGCAGTTAGTGGTTTCTGGATGTTAAGTCAACAACAAAACACTTGTCTTTTCCAGCAGCCATTGTACAGTCTGTAGAACAGTAATACCAGCTGACCAAATGTGCTGGAGCTCCGCTTGGGTTACCAGGTAACAGCACAGTGCCTGTCAATTGTGACTAAATGTTGGGGAAGTTTTGAAATGACTCATTTTCCAGACACCAAAAAACATTAACTTATTGCTAAATAACAACTAATTGCTTCCTTAAATAGACACTAGTAGAAGTATAAAAACATGCAAAACGGTAATTTTACATAACAGATTCCCTTTAAATGTTGTGGTTCACATTTGCTCACCATCCAGTCTAACGGAGTTTAAGGCATTTTGCGTAGATATACGGAAAATCCAATTGGAGAAACGATCCCGATTCTGGTGGGCTTAATTCAAACCCATAAAATCATGTTTTATGAGTTTGAAAATCAACACTGTGAACAAGTCTGAGAGGCTTGATCACTTTTGCAAGGTGCTGCATCACACCCCTGGATCTCTTGCGAAGTTTCCTGTGTGGACGGTGCGTTCATGTTCGTGCATATTTACAGTGCTGGGATCTGCTGCCAGGCCTAAGCAGCTCAGTTTCTCGGTTTTAAATCTGACTCACTTGGATCCCAAATGGGTAATTTTTTAAACGTGCTGCTTCACATGAATCCCTTACAAGGCTGCATTCTTTACAAAATGCTGGACAGATACCTCAGTCAGTATATCTTTGCTGTTGGATTAACTTGTTGGAAAAGATGAATCCATGAAACAAACCCGATGCTGACGACTGCGTTTAGTTTATTACGACTCCCTCCAAGAGAAATAAAAAAGATGTAAAATATTTGTTTGGGACGGCGTGTGCGTGTTGAAGGAACATAATGTCTTCGTATTGCTCTTTAAGAGCTTCGTGCGTAACATCAGCAGCTGGTATGAACTGGACGCTATCGCACCTGTGAAATCATGTTTTCTGAAATATTATTTTTTTAGACCGCGAGAGATTTGCTGTTGAGAGGTCAACTGAAGCAAACAAATAAAAGGCTGAAAGTGCAACTGGTGTTGAATATTTTCTGACTTCACTTCCAAATTTTATGGGTTTTTGAACTGTTGGACAACCATCATTATTTTGATTAATCGTGATTAATCGATTATTGAAATAATTGGCATCTAGTTTAGAAAACTGAGAAAAGTTGCTAAAAGATCAACACACACGGCAGTAATTAATCCAAAACTCTACAAAAATGTTTTTTTCTTGCATCTGAGATGATTAAAAAAAACTTTTTCGAAAAATTTGTAGTTGCAGATGCATCTGTTGCTACAAATGACCAAAGGAATGTGAATGTGTATGTTGTGGCATTTTATGCAATAATTTTTTTATTTTCATATTTAAAAGTGAGTTCAATTTGCATCTTTAAATGTATTTCTGATATGGAGTAATAAAAGCTTTAGTGGTTAATAGAAAAATTTGCAGAATTTGACTATTTTTAAGCTGATTAATTGATTGAATAATCTTTAGCTTCAGCCTTAGAAATCCTTCATTTCTGATCTGCAAGCTAGTTAGCATACACCAATAAGGCTGTGAAATGGGACACTTAACAGTTCTTAAACTTGCAAAAACACACATTTACACAAAAATACGTTTAAAGCTAGAAAAATATACAGTCTAGACCTTCACCCTGAGAAAAATCTTTGAATTTCAAATTGAGTTGAGCATCTTTGCAGAGTAGAAACATCTGTGCGGTACAGTCTGATTGCTCTTGACCTTTTCAATCAAGGGAGAAACTCAGAAGTTAAAGGATGCCAAGTCTTTGATCCAAACATGGAAACATTTTAGGTTTTTAAAGTTTTCCAAAATGTTCTTGAAAACATTGTTTTCCTTGTTTTGTTTGTGGAAGAATCGTTTTCAGATTGATGACAAAAACAATAAATGAAGAATGTTAACACAACCCTAAAAAGCAACATTTAGTGGAAACATTGAGTGTGAAAACTTTCCATCTCAGCTGCATATTATGTAATAAAGCAGGTTAGTCATTCACTGACTATCCAAACAAACGTTTCGTTTCAAAAAGCTCGAGTTGGAAGACGTTTTCCCTCCAAACATCACATCTCTGTTGTTGGCCCAAAAAGAACAAAACTGCTGTGGAAATTTGGACATGCTGGGTTATGGAAATTAGTATTAGCTGTTGTTGTTTCATATCACTCAGTCCGGTAATAAATTCCCATGTCATCAGAGCTGACACTGCTTTTGGATTGATTTAAAAAAAGAAAACCTGGAGTGAGACGCCAAGTGAGAACAACTTTGGAGGTGAATCAGACTCAACGGTTCTGATTCTGCAAAACCCACTGGGGCCTCCTTATTGGTTCAGAGGCAGGCGGCGAGGGGGGAAAATCTGAAAACATGTCGCCTTCAGGCCTGCAAGATGGTGAAAGAATCAAACATTTTCATTAATCTTTATTTCAGTCATAATCTACATTAAGTAAAATTTACGTTTTTGATCGTTGCTTCATGTTTTTATGTTATTTTCTCATCAAAAACAAACCTGGAGTGTCGCTTTGATTATTTCATGTATGTTTGAGAAATTCTGTAATCTCTATTGCAACCATTCAGCTCTCCAGAATGCCTGGTTGTGCCTATCTCCGCCTTTGAGGCATAGCTCCTCCCCCTCTCTGCTCCTTCAGACTAGCCAGCAGCAATTAGCAAACACCCGGTGGAACTACTCAGCTCATTTTATGAGTTGCTTCTCAGTGAAATTATTGTGAAAGGGTTAGCAGAGGAGCCATGTTGTGATGACTTCCTGAAGACGGAGCTTCAGAAAGAGCAGGACTTTCTTAAAGAGACAGAGGTCTTGGGGGCGGCCATTTATTTCTTGTCATGACAAGAATTTTGATTTATCGTTGACACAATAATTTCAAAAACTGTCAGTTTTACTATTTTCTGCACTCTTTGTCCAATCAGACAATAAATCCATTTAAAATGTGATTAAATATAGTTATATGGTGATATAAATCAAATTTTTTCACGTGACTGTCCTGAAGAAATGTTTTCCAAGAGCATTATTTGTGTTTGTGTGGCTGTTACTGTTGTGTCATACATTCACAGCTTTACATTCACCAAAAAAAACAAAGTAATGAATAGTTCATAATGTCACTTTTATAGTTATAAAAAGTTTTATATCGCCCAATTTCAAGATGTTAAATCAGGAAATAAAATTTTAAATCAGATTTGATGCATATAGCATTTTGATAACAACTGAAGGTGACATATTTACTTGATTAGATTATAAAATGCCACTGTGTGCCTGGAAAACACGTCTTCCTGCCCCTTTAAGGCTTCTTGTTCAGCCTGTTTTAGAAAAGCGGCCCAGCCAGGCTTTTCTTAAGTTAAATACCGGCCATCCAAAACCTAAGTGGCTCCAGGGTAGCTGCACAGGAGGCCCCCTGCGCCACACACACACACTTATTCACACACACGAGTGCATGCACAAACACACCCAGTGCTCAGAGGTGAAGCACTCAGCTCCATGCCTTCTCATCCTGCCTCCTTTCCAGCCCTTACGCTGCCTTCTTGGCCTCCCTTTTTGCTCATTCAGGCTCAATGATTAGATTTTTTAAAAGAGATTATAGACTGATTTTAGGCTGGAGACATCTGATCCTAAATCTCAGAGCTGGATAGACAGACAAATGTATAAATAAAGATGAAAGAATCAAAGGATCCTTTATTCCCTCATGATGAAGTTAATAGATGCTGCATCTGTCCATTCTCAGTCTGCAGGTTTATTTCTGTAGAAAGTAGTAACTCTTGTTTCTGAGGTTCAGCAGAAACAAAGAGAAACTTTTTCTGTTTTTATCAACTCAATGTGGCCTTTTGGCAAAAGCTATGGATGTGTTTTTGTTTCTGGCTCAAACCTCAAAATGCAGTTTATTATTTTAAAACAATGCAGAGTTTAAGTCTCTGGAAGCCAAAAGAGAAGCGTGACATTCAACTTTAGTGCTTGGTCTGGTTCAAGTTAAGTTTGATAGATTCCTGGATGGTACATAGATGATCAAATCCAAAGTTGTTCAGTTATTTGCAATAAGTAAAGAATATGTTTGACAAAATTTTGTTACTTTTGATGACAATAATCCCTCTGAGGTGCTGCTGAATTTATGTTAAAGTGTTTTATAACCTTGAAAAGCTTTAAATGACACAATGCATTTCCTCAAATCTACATCAGGTTTCAAACCAAGCAGCTCTCTCAGAAATGATGTTTAGGACGCTGTTGTCTCTCATTGATGTTTGTTTCAATAAAGCAACCAGTATTTTATCACAACTGCAGCTTTGGCAGGTTAAACTTCCTGAATTATCTAATTATTTCAGCCTGATTACTTTCTGTTTTGATAGGACTTGTTGATAATTAAGCCGGTTGTGTCTTTCAGTGTTTTTCCATGTACAGTTAACTTACAGAACAAGTTATTTTCCTGCTTTGCTTTGAACATCAT